CCATGAGACGTCTATCCGTAGACGATCTGCAGTTAGGACTTTAATCCTACACTTCGTCATTCTGCATTCTCAGGGCAGCTCTTAATTATTATTATGACTATACCATTTTCATCTTTGCTAGGCCGAGATGGCATGGACCAAAGCATGGCAATGTGTTCATGGTTCCTCGATTGTCTTGAAAAGCGGGATCATTTACTCGATGACATTTGGTTTAGTGAAAAGCCCATTTTTACCCTGCGGGATATGTTGATTAAAAAATTGCTGTCTATTGGGCACCCCATTTCCTTTTGTCTCAAGAAGCCACTTCATACTGATATGTACAGTGTATCTGGCTTTAAACACTCATGGTTTAGCAGGTCCTTATGTTTGGGTACCATTGAACATAATTTCGAAAGACGCGATAAGATGGGTCGAGTTCAAATTAAGGAGGGCATGTAGAGAGCACTGCTTCTAGTACTTCTAGGAATTCCAGAATAAAATTGTTCGTTTTTAAACTCTGTGAAAGAAATTAATTATTGTTTAAATGTTGCGGGGATGGAAAATCAAAGGTCAAAGAGAAAATAAAGAAAAATTCAACCAATCTTTTCACGACTTCCTTTGCAAGATTTTTTTTCAAAATGGTGAACTTTGCTTTTTTGGGTGCATTTTTCTTTAAGCCATTTTCATTTTCAAAATAAGTTTCCTCTTCGTGGATTTTATGTCAAACAAATTCCTTTTGAATGATTGATGTCTTTTTTTATGTAGTAGAGGGTTTTACGGCGCTCGCAACTGCATAAGGATATGAGCGCCAAGGGGTGGGTGTCAACAGAGAAGTCTTTACAGGGAATTAGACTTACTCTGCTCACCTCTCTAGCTTCAACAGCACAAGGTCTGCCTCGACTATCAAGGCACCCCGGAAACAGCAGGTCACAAGAGAGTGACAAACATACACAAGAAGTAGAGGATATGACAATAGTAAGGGTTAGGAAAGAAAAAGCAGCAGTTCCCTGTTGTGACAAGATGAATCGGCCCATTTACAATTCTACTGTGCTTGAACGAGAAATGTCCCCCATTTGGGAATGGCCTTAAGACACTCCAGTCAGTGGCACTACCCCCCATGATGTCTATTCCAAAATACAGCGTTCTTGAGCAATTTTTGTGCGAGATATTTAAAAAAAGTTGGTTGTACAGTTGTTTTTTTGTTGATCACCCTGTATATGACCTTATTGTGTTGCAAGTGCCTTAAAACACTTACCGTTGAAACCATGAAACAGGCCCGGTAATAACTGGGATTTTTTAAATCCCCGTGTTTTCCTTCTCTTTGTCTCTATTAAAAGTTATCGGCAATAACAGGGCCTCATCGGAACCCAATCGGTTATGGCAGGGACAAAGGCTCGTTAACAAAGTGTAAAAATAAAAAGTAAGAGAGAGAGTAGTAACAGACTGCAGACTTCGGACTAGATCTAGCCGTAAGCCTAGCGACATGCACGCGTAATGTATCATGAATCATGCGCAGGCTACTTGTGGTAAGGGAAACTACCCATGAATAATACAGCTGGATTAATCCACAAATGCTTACTTCCCCTGCATTTCTGATTTATCCAGGATCTGATACATGACGACATGTATAACAGAACTTTTTCTATGGTCCCACCATCCCTGTTGTTATATCAGGTTTCCACGGTACTAAAACTAAGAAAGCCTAAAATTTGTACACTATGCATGACTATGAAAAGATGTGTACTTAACAATAACAAGATTTCCACGTCCTACATGTAGGCCTACTACATTTGTACGAATTTTGCTATGTGTGAGCTAGTGTTACACGATAATCCAACTCTACAATAGACTCCGCTCCAAAGCATTCCTTTTATTTGCTGCACTTTGCATGGAATGTGCATTTAGCATTACACAACCATGTCATTTCCCATGGAGTGGGGGTGGGGGGGCACTTTCGCTGATATTCATAATGCAACAAAACTTAATTATAATATGTATTTTGAGAAGGATTCCACTTATCACGGTTATGACTGCAAAGGTGTTGATTGAAAGAATGAGTGTTGGAAAAAAGCCAAAAGACCTACTCCACTGTAGAGATGTGTCATGTTGGAGAACAGATTCTATAAGAAGAGGGAACGGTGATAGTCCTTCTTTCCGATCAAAAGACATCTATCGTCCTGATCTCTGCTCCTTCTTTTTTGTGTTTGTTACTCTCTTGTAACACCTTTAATCTTCAGCACTTATATGACCTTATTGTGTTACAAGTGCTGTAAAACTCTTCTTACTAAACCTAAAGGTGATAGTCATTGTATTAAAGGGAAGTGACCACTCCCCAACTACCTGTCAATTGCAACTTGGTAAATGCAGGGATGACAGACATTCTGAGATTGAGAGGCTTTTTCAGTGATCCGTTGAACAAGTACGTCATAATTTTGTTCTTCTGGTGCAGGTGATCACTTGAATCCTAAAGTAAAACTACAGGACTACCTAGTGTTTTAACTTCTACAGCGTTTATGCCTGTTGCGCATCAATTGAAAGTACTCTCATTCTCTCACACAGAGTGGGTGCTCTGGTGTGGTTTGCTCTTTCTTTCCTATCAAACTCTATCGTCTTTATCTTTCCTCCTTCTATTTTGTGTTGGTTACTCTCTTGTAACACCTCTAATCTTCGACACTTATAAATGACCTTATTGTGCTGCAAGTGCCGTAAAACTCGTACGAAAACTTAACTCTCCCACAGACAAAACCACACACAAACAGTCCAGTGATGCTCCATCATGATAAAAAAAGGCAGGTACAATTTCAAAGTAACAAACTATCGCTTTTAGTTTTATTCACACTCTGCAAACAAATACAAGTAAATTTCATTTCTCATACATACTTAGAATTAGATCTGGAATTATTTTACATTAACATGACAAATATCTTCAAACAAAACAGTTTAAATTACATATATATCAGACAGCACAATTGATCATGAAATTACATAACTACAGTCCAGTCCATTTATAACTTATAACAGCCTCTGTTATTATTATATAACAGTGATCAATCAAATCCCCGGTTTTCTTTTTCTCTCTATAAGTAGTTGAAGTAAAATGAACCTGGCTATAACTATAACAGGTTTCAATTTGCGCAGACTCGGAATACAACAGCGATCTTACAGTGCATGAACTTGCTTTCGATCCGTCAAATTATTAAAATTTGTCTCAACCAAGACATCACCTGTTTGTATGATTGCTTGCCAAAACACAAACTTTCAAACACACACCTCCCCATAGTGTTGGGGTCACTGATAGATTCAATCTCAGTGTCAGCAGAATAGCCCACTGGAAAAGGATATGCGGTAATCAGTAATTAATTGAATAGCCAAAATTATAGTTTTTCTGCGGGTAAAAATTATTCTGATCTTGAGCTTGTTCTTAGAAAGTATTAACAAATTCGTAAATTGGGGTTGAGCGCTATAAATGTCATTCATTATCATTATCAAAACAATTTTGAGGATAGAATAGATGAAAGTAAAACTGTTACTGACTCTACTGTTAATAGTATTAGTTACCAACACCAAAAAGTAGAAGAAGCATACTTTTTATACATCATGTGTACAATGAGCCCTGAGAATATTTCAAAACTGCAATTCAATGAAAAAATCAGTGGACGCACGATGTTCCTTCCAAGCAATTCCTTTCTTTCATCCCCAACTACTGAAACTCGTGTGTTTCAGAAAAAGTTGAAATAAAAATAGAGTATAGGCCTACCAAACATATCTTGATAACATGTACTTTAATCTATACAATTTCAAGGAAACGCGACATGTTGACTCTGCCTTTACAATTCTGAACAGTATATCAAATTCAAATGCTTGAAAAAGACGATCTCTTTCTTTAAATCAAATCAAACCTCAATGCAAAAAATTGACAGCAAGTCCTCAGCTATACACTTTGAGAAAGCAAGGAGCGATAGCAAAGTCCCCTTTCACTACCCATGAGATCGGAGTTGACACCCTAGAGCTGTCCTGACATAAAGTAATTGCAGACACTTTATGCTCCCACCAACACAATTTCGATCATTTAGTAGAAGGGCGGCTCCGTCAACCCTGCCTGTCCAAGGCCAACCCAGGCTGAGAGGGATACAATGTCCCAGCAGAAAGACTGAGACATAATTATATATGTACTAAATACTAATTTTCCTCACTAAAAATGTTGTGTGTTCAAAGTCAAAGAGCAAATAAAGCTTCCGACCCTGAAAAGCCTCGCTGTCCATTTCCCTTGAAAAAAACTCCACAAATGTCATCATTTCCACCTTTTAACTGTGCGATCAGCTCAACCCACAAATCCATCCAAGAAGTGAAGACGTAGAGCAGGCTAAAAGTCATCTTCACACACAGACACAGGCAACCATCACATTGACCGCTTCTTGATCTTGTAAGACTCCTCCATACACCACGTTGTAAAGTGAAGTATGATGACGGGAGTCTTAAACGGGGTGCCCACTACGCCCGGCGCCCGACTCGGTCGCCTGAAACTGAAAACAAACATGTATGTTTTTGAGGAGACCGAGTTGGGCGATCGGCCGATCTCATCCGTAGTGGGCACCCCGTATTACTACACCGAGCAGTTGAATGAAATCTGGCACAACTTTCTAGCTAGCAGACTCTCTAGCATCATTTCGCGGTGGACTTCTTCTCTTCCTCCTCCCTCTTCAGCCGCTCTTGCACGAGCTCCTTCAGCCTCCCCTCAGCCTCGGCAGTGTCCAGACCCAGCTGCTTCATCCTGGGTATAGCCTGAGCCAAGTGAGGCTCCTCAATTCCCGGTACTCGGTCGAAGAGATGAACGTTCAACTGTTCGTCCAGATCGTTTTCTTCCCGGAGGTACAAGAAGTAAGTGAGGAACACAAACAGACTGGCGGCGACGATGACCCCCTGGTATTCGTTCCTGTCCACTGGCTCGGGCATAGACCGCACGTTGGCGGCACTTGTGGTGAACTTGATGGGCTCTGAGCTGATCTCCTTCTTTTTCCACAATGCAGGCCCAGTGTGCACAGAGCGACTTTCACTGAAATGAGACATAGAAGTAAAGAAAAAACCATTAATAAGCTTGAAACACTTTAATTACAACTTCGGCTAAGACTAAGAGTATTCAATTTAAACATTTTTTTTTTCGCAAAGGGAGCTAAAACATGCAACATTTTTTGTTCTCTTTCAGTCAGGACAAGCTAGATTGATCAGCACTTTTTACTTTTAAGTTATAAACCTAAGAGAAGTAAACCAACCTTGCCTTACTGACTGATATTGAAGAAAGAAAAAAGATATCCAAGAGATGAGAGTTATTACTATTACATGATATGCACAGAAAACTGAAGACAAGCTCATAGATTACAGTCTAGCACACGCTAAATTCAGGATATGTTTAAAGCTTGATGAATAATTATGAAACGTACACAACAAATAGACACAAGACATTTGTACGCATGAGCAGTAGTAACTGAGGTGTTTATTTAGAGACCGGTGGGTCACATTACAACACAATGGGCCAATTCAGTCCAAGCTTTTGATTCTTCTGTATGAAAAGGCTGCCTTAATTAGTTGAAAGTGGTTCGACGTGATTTATAACTGTAAAACCTCAGCGGCACAAACACAAACAATCACACACAAAACTTGAAACATATTCCGTCTATGAATGAGTTGGATTAGTTGGCTGTGTAGTCGCAAAATGTAAAACGCATCTAACAAAGGACCAGTGAGTGTGTAGGTATCTAGTATTGTATCTGTATCACGGGGGGAAAGTGTGTCATAAACTTTCACCCCACTGTCAGGGCTAGGAGAGCGTGAGCCCTCAGTAGAGTGTTGTATTTCCCAGTCTTTTACCTTTTTACAAGCAGAGTTTCATTACCGAAGGGCCGTGGGAATGGGTTCATCCAGTGCTGAGCCCTATAAGACAATTGATTGGCTGTTAGGTTATTATAGTTGTAAGCGGTGACACCACACCAGTTATTGGATAAACGAGCAAGCCGTCAAGTTGATCACTCTGTGTTCATTGCTTGCGACCATAACGGTTTCAACTGCTCATATTTAGTTATTTAACCCTATCCATACGCCCTTGGGTCATTTGTACCTTGTATTCTTCAGATTTTAGTATACTTCTAGTACGAAGTTCTCTTCGAAACTTTCAATATTTCTCAAAAAATCATTTTGACAGACTGCTGCTTGCAAAGCTTAGGCCTATCGATCGGATTAACGAGTCACTTCCTCTTTGGAAAGTGGTAGCACAGATTCGAGTTCCCCACACTGTACGGGTACGATAGTAAAATACAACGAACGGATAACAGGGTTAAGAAACTTTCATTTACTGTGGGATAGAGTTGGAAGGGGGGAGGGGGGGCGCTCAAGCCCCTGAGCCCTTCACTACCCATCGCCACTGATTCACACACCACAATGCAGCGACACACTGACTGTTTTCAATTACACCGTATATCACTCTATCACCCACCCTCACATGGCTACATTCATCAAGGAAGTTGTAACACACTGTACGGAACATTACAGCAACTGCAGCAAACCTGCACTCATCACTACATGGGATTGGATAGAAGGGCGAGAGCCCAGCTGTTGCTCGATCGATAACAACGACAACATAAAAACAACAACATTTAACAACAACAACAGGAAGTTTTAGGGCCTTACTTACAACTTGTACACCACACCAGATAATGTACGATGATCGCTATGTTTCAATACAGTACCTGCAGTGCGTATTATTCAGTGTCTAGAGTAGAGTAAG